TGCCCACTTTGGTGTCTCTGGCACATTCTGGGGGTGTCTGATGTTCAGATAAACCCCAGCTGTGCCCACCCTGCCCACTTTGGTGCCTCTTTTTTGCCCTCACCACCCCGGAGCAGAAGCTCTCCAAGACTCCCTGTCCCAGAGGGTCCTTTCCACCCTCAGCAAAACCCCTGATATTTAAAATAACCCTCAATCCAGGCTGCCAGAGCCACCCATTCCTGCTGGGAGCAGGGAAAAGAGGGATAATCAAAGTGTGCCAGCAAATACCAGCTTTGTTTGGGGTTTTTGACACATTCTGGGGGTGTCTGATGTTCAGATAAACCTCAGCTGTGCCCACCCTGCCCACTCTGGTGCCTGGTGTCTCTGGCAGATGCTGGGGGTGTCTGATGTCCAGACAAACCTCATCTGTGCCCACTTTGGTGCCTCTCTTTTGCCAGTGAGCATCCTTGGCCCTCTCACCACCCCGGAGCAGAAGCTCTCCAAGACTCCCTCCTCCAGCTCCCTGTCCCAGAGGGTCCGTTCCACCTTCAGCAAAACCACTCCCAGGTCAGTTCTGTCACCTTGGGGGGGTCAAAGAGGACTAAAAACACATTTCTGGGCCCAGTTGTGGCATCAGAACCCCCCCCTGTGGCACCAAAAGCTCTGTGATGCTTTGTGACCACTTGGGAGGTGGGTAAAACCTGGATGAACATTCCCTGGGAACTGTAGAGTGGTGGATCTCCCTCCCAATTCCCAAACTGACTTTTTTTTAATTTATTTTTCTTAGGTTTGGGAGCAAAAGCAAGTCCAGCATCCAGCTGGGGCACCAGGGCAACTTCTTTGCCTCTCCCATGCTGAAGTGAAGCCCTGGGAATAAAGTTGGTGCCATCCTGGGATAAATTTGGTCCCATCCTGGGATAAATGTGATCCCATCCTGGGATATGAATTTGTCCCCTCCTGGGATGAATTTGGTCCCATCCTGGGATGAAGTTGATCCCATCCTGGGATGAATTTGTCCCCTCCTGGGTTGAATTTCTTTCCATCTTGGGATGAATTTCTTCCCCTCCTGGGTTGAATTTGTCCCATCCTGGGATGAATTTGATCCCATCCTGGGATGAATTTGTCCCCTCCTGGGATGAATTTGTCCCATCCTGGGATGAATTTGATCCAATCCTGGGATAAATTTGATCCCATCCTGGGATGGAGTTTGTCCCATCCTGGGATGAATTTGATCCCCTCCTGGGATGGAGTTTGTCCCCTCCTGGGATGGAGTTTGTCCCCTCCTGGGATGAATTTGATCCCCTCCTGGGTTGAATTTGTCCCCTCCTGGGATGGAGTTTGTCCCCTCCTGGGATGGAATTTGTCCCCTCCTGGCATTTGCACTCCAACAAATCCAACAAGTCCAAGTTCTCTCCGTGTTCCCCCCCCAGCAGCTTTTATGTCCCGAGATGTTTTGCCTTTTATCTTTCAGCTTCACTGAGGCTCCTTTAATGGGATTTTACTGTGCAATGTAATTTTTAATTCTCCCACCCCGTGCTGGATGTTGGTGACGACCATAAGGAGCAGGATTTGCTCCCTGTTAATCATTAAAGCTCTGGAGGAACTGGTGACATTGTCACTCACCCCTGGTTTTCTCCCCCTGGTTGGGTTTTTTTGGACTCCAGAGGGTGTTGTTGGCACGGCACTGGCAGAATTCCAGGCTTTCCAGCGGCAATTCCCGCCTGGTTGTGCCGCTGGAATCCTCAGGGTGGCACTGTTGGATTGCTCTGGTGGATGAACCTCCCGAGGCTGCTCCAAAGGAACCTTCCCAAACCTTCCCTTCCCAAACCTTCCCTTCCCTTCCCAAACCTTCCCTTCCC